GTTTTGGCCTGTATGATAGCACTCAAGTTGAAGAAGTTCTTTTATCATTTCATGCTATTTAGGTTTCAGGTAACAAAAAATTAAACTAGCATAAGCAAAAAGGTATTTGAACAACTAAGACAAAAGAGGATTTTGAGCATTCTCCAGACCAATCTGGACTTTTGATCCTTTAAAATGGCAGCTTCATTCTTCATCATTATAGCCTGATCATATTCATATATATATATAATTTTAACTGGACCAGCTGAATGACGAGAATGACTGTTGGCTATGGCACACACTGTGACAGTCAACCGGCCTGATCTGGGCCTGATTGGCACCCCCTGCCAGCCTGGCCCCCAATTGGTCCCTAACACCCTAATCAGGGAGGGTCCAGCTGGCCAATGTCTTACAGCCCCTCCCCCCAGCTGGCCCCAACCCCAAATTAGTCCCCAACACCCTGATTGGGGGTGGAAATGGCTGGCCAACTTCTTATGACCCCTCTTCCCACAGGCCCAGCCTGATGGGTCCCCATTGGGGCAAACAGGCAGACTCCACATGTGCACGAATTCATGCACTGGGCCTCTAGTCTCTTCATAAAAGGCAACAGACCAGCAGTGGCTATTTATAGCTCAAAAACTACCAGTGAATGACTGAGTATTAATTCTTTTCTTCCCATGCACAAACTTCCCAGAGAAGAGACTCATGGGGAGTGACCATCTCTCAACCAATCAACAGTGACCAAGAATTTTGATTGGTCCAACTTAGTATTTTGATTGGTCCAATTTAGAAAAGAAAGTAGGGGTTGTTTTACCATGGAGGCAGATCCAAATTAAAAATGACAAACTGAGGGAAGGGTAGTTCCTAGAGAAGGCATGTTGAACAGATCATTCTTGGTATTCACTTGTGGGTTTTTTGTTTTTGTTTGTTTGTTTGTTTTTTCAAGATTATCAAGAACAACATATTTTAATTAATTCAACTGGTATAGATGTATTATCAGGCTACATGGGAAAGTGAAGAGATTCATCATAGAAATCCTCTAGCAACCCAGTTAGCATGTCATTTTCACATCAGATGGCCAATGTCTCCTACACTGATGTTCTTTCCTTAGGATGACTCGGTTTGTATGGGAAGCCAATGAGAGCAGACACACAGAGGATTAAATCTTGACTCTAGCTCATGGCCTCTGGTTTCCACTCCTCTGGTTTGGCCACCCAACACAGCACCTTCTACCCTGGGCTAGACTCTGATTGGGTATTCCAGTCACCTTAGCGTGTAGGATATGCTGTTGGGTAAAGCTTCATATCAATTTACTTTATAGGCTGCTGGTCAGATATCCAGTTTTGGCCAAGAATCAATTATTGTTTGAACAGTTAGAACCAGGAAAATGGTGTCAAGGAACAACAAATAAACAATTATGGTTGTGCCAAGTAATTTAATTGGTGGATACATAGTATGGGCTATATAGCACCCCCCCAAAATAGACTATAGTGTTTTTTTTTTTTAAACCACCGAATATTGTTAAAATTAGTTTGCCAATAATTATTTTTTAAATCTTTTATAAAAAAATATGTTTTTATGGATTTCAGAGAGGAAGGAAGAGCGAGCGAGCGAGAGAGAGAGAAACATCAACGATGAGAGAGAATCATTGATTGGCTGCCTTCTGCATGCTCCCTACTGGGGATCAAGCCCACAACCGGAGCTGTGCCCTTGATTGAAAATGAACCTAGGGCCCTCTAGTCCGCAGGCCAATCCTCTATCCACTGAAAACTACTTATTTTTTAAAATTTCCATTCTGTCCCCAGAAAAGCAATTTTCCCAAAGCAAGAAGGGTTTGTTTTGTTTTAATCACTGAACCAAACCAGCTAGGGCAGCAATAATTATATTAGTGAGGCCAAGATATATAGGAGAGTTCCTGCCACAGAAGAAACTATAACATTGATGAGGGAGTAAAAATTATCACAATGGACACAGGTAGAGAAAACCCCAAATATTAAGTATTTTTATTTTCCCCTCAATGTAAGCTAAAATACACAATCTATTGTATTTCTTCACTCCTTACAACTCTTATGAACAAGACTTTAAAAACAAACGTACATCTATATCTAAAATTTTCCCAAAGCAAGAAGTTTTTGTTTTGTTTTAATCACTTAAGTTGTTTTTCTGGGGACAGGTACCTGAGAGTCCTCATAGGAAGCCCAGAGGGATTTAAGGAAAGGGGGCTGAGAAGAGATTGAATGAAAGAAAACAAAGGAGGGCGGGTGGATGGAGATAAAAATAGAAAACAAAGACAATGCCAAAGAGCAGAGTGCATAGTTCTGAATTCAGTACCATCATCACTTCACCACCTTGGGCTCTGGGTGTGGTTTGTCCAGGCCCCAGGCTGCTTCTATGTAAAACAGCATGCTGGGCTTGTCTGCTGGCCCCTTCTCCGTGCCTCTCATTTGATGTGGGCCTCAGAAAGGGAAGGCTTCGGGGAGCTTCTGGGTTCAAACTGCTACTTCTCTCTGTTCTCAGCGCCATGGAAATTCCGTGGGGACAGGGCTGTAGATAAAGGAGGCCGGGGGAGGAATGGGAAGGTCTCACATGTTGAGTGAGAGGCTGGTGGCTGGATTTTTAAGTTCTCAGGATACTTTTAATTTATGCATTTGCTGATCCTGGAGAAACAGAAAAAAGAAAACAATTCACAGTGTGCCTGTGCAAATAGCAAATCAGTAAAACTACCCGCACGAGATTCTGGCTCCTCAGGGTACAGTTTCTGAGCTGCAATAGGCAAGCGATATGTACTCTGATAGGACCCAATGCCAGGACATTTTATTTTTTTATTTTTATTTAAAAAAAATATATTTTATTGATTTTCTACAGAGAGGAAGAGAGAGGGAATAGAGAGCTAGAAACATCAATAACACCTGCACACCCCACTACTGGGGATGTGCCCGCAACCAAGGTGCATGCCCTTGACCGGGATCAAACCTGGGACCTTTCAGTCCGCCGACCAACACTCTATCTACTGAGCCAAACCGGTTTCGGCAAATGCCAGGATGTTTTAGATCAAGAAAAGCCCAGACACTGCCAGAGCTCGCAGTGAGCTGGGGATTGACTGGGGCGTGTGAACTTGCAGACCTAAAGCTGGGTCCATTGGAGAATGCAGGTCACCCTTTGAGGTTGGCTCCATCCTGAGAGGGCCATCTCAGTTTCTTGCAGACGGAATAGCTCAGACCTGGAGCGACGCTTGGCCCTTTGTAACCAAATCGGTAGCTTTGGATTAGAAGGAACCCCAAACCAAGCTGTCCAAGAGTCTAAGGAAAAAGTGAACAGACACGTGGACTTAAAAAGCTGAGGGTGGATGTAATTCTGTGGACTTGTAGTTGGACCAGTGTAGGGCAGTGTGGGAGGGGGGGAAGGGAGGAGAGAGGGAAGGCAGGTGATCATAACCTTAGGACTCCCTCCACTGCAGAGGCTGTCAGGTGCACAGAACCAGTTTTTACACCGATGTCTGGGTGTGGAGAGGGATGGGGGACAAAAGTGTGGAGGCTTTATGTCTGAGGCAGCGTTTTATTTTTCCTATTTCTAGGGAAAGTGTGGTCTTAGATGAGCACCATGGGGCAATGGGGTAAAAAGGGTGAAAAAAGCATATATATTGTATATTCTGCCGAAACCGGTGTGGCTCAGTGGATAGTGCATAGGCCTGCAGACTGAAGGGTCCCAGGCTCGATTTGGGTCAAGGTCATGTACCTTGGTTGAAGGCACATCCCCAGTAGAGGGTGTGCAGGAGGCAGTGGATGGATGTTTCTCTCTCATCAATGTTTCTGGCTCTCTATTCCTCTCTCTTCCTCTCTGTAAAAAAATCCATAAAATATATTTATTTAAAAAAAGCATCCCCTCCAGCTGAAACCGGTTTGGCTCAGTGGATAGAGCGTTGGCCTGCAGACTGAAGGGTCCCAGGTTGGATTCCGGTCAAGGGCATGTACCTTGGTTGCAGGCACATCCCCAGTGGGGGGTGTGCAGGAGGCAGCTGATGGATGTTTCTCTCTCATCGATGTTTCCAACTCTCTATCCCTCTCTCTTCCTCTCTGTAAAAAATCCATAATATATATATATATATATATATATTTAAAAAGCATCCCTCCGGTGGTCTGGCACTCCGCGGGCCAGCTGTCCATGAGCCCTTCCAATCCCGGTTCCCCTCCCCGGAGACCCCGCTCCTCCGCGCGGACAGGTGTTCTCCCCGCTCCCCGGCGGCGGATTTTGGGCGGCGGCGCAGCCAATGAGCGCTCCCCGCGGGGGCGGGGCCGGCGGGGGCGGGGCCTCGGGCGGGCGGGGGCGGGGCCGGCGCGGCTGCGGCCAGCGGCTCGGCGGCGGGCGGAGGGCTGCACCCGCGGCCCCTGCCCCTTTATCTCATTTATTTATTTATTCCCCGCGCTGCGGGGCAGGCGGCTGCTGGTTAGTCCGCGGCCCGCGGCGGGCCGGAGCGGGGCGGACGCCGGAGCGTACCCGCCGCGGCCGGACAGTGTGAGCGCTGACAGCGGAGCAGCGGCTCCGGGAGCCCGCCGCCCGCCCCACTTTCCCCCATCGGACCGGGGTCCGGCCGCCGATCACCGAGCCCGCAGCCCGGGGTCCGACCCCTGATCACCGAGCCCGCAGCCCGGGGTCCGGCCGCCGACCACCGAGCCCGCAGCCCGGGGTCCGGCCGCCGATCACCGAGCCCGCAGCCCGGGGTCCGGCCGCCGACCACCGAGCCCGCAGCCCGGGGTCCGGCCGCCGATCACCGAGCCCGCAGCCCGGGGTCCGGCCCCCGCACCCTGATCCCCCCGCAGCCCGCCGGGCCAGAGGCCGGACCGCCGCCTCCGCCGCCGCCAGATAGAACTTTTCGGGGTGCCGTCCCCGCCCCGTTCCCGTGCGTCGTCGCCGGACCGGACCGGAGGGAGCGGAGAGGACAGTGAGCGGGGACCGGACGATCGATCGGCGGGGACAGCGCCGCAGCCCGGCCGGGGGCTCCGCGTCGGACCCGAGCACCTCTCCCCGCCGGCGGTGCCCGGGGCCATGTGAGCCGGGCGCGGAGCGAAGATGCGGGCGGCCACCGCGCTGCGCGTCTGGCTGAGCCTCCTGGCGGCCGCGGGCTCGCTCCGGCGCGGCGCGGCGCAGGCAGGTGGGTGCGACCGGTCCCCGGGGCGGCGGGCGGCCGCCGGGGGGTTCTCTCTCCCCTCCCGGCTCCCCGGGGAGGAGGGACCGATCACCGGGTCCGGTGCCCGGGCTCCCGGGCGCCTCCCGTCCGGCCCCAAAGTGGCCCCAAAGTTGCCCTGTGTGTGCGCGTCCGTTTGTTTTATTTCTCGTGGGAACAAACACACCCCACCGTGCGCCCCGACCCCCCGCCCTGCCCGCTGGGGCGCTCCCGGTCCCTCCGGTCCGCCCGGCCCGGAGGGGAGCGGAGCGGGGCTGCGGCGGGCTGTGCACCTGCGTGCGCCCGGCCCCGCCGCCCGCCGCGTCCCGCTTCCTCCGGCTCCGGATTGATCTGCGGGGAGCCTGCCTGCCTGCCTGCGGGACATCTTAAAAAGCCGAAAAACCGACAGTGACGAGGCGGCTCCGGGAGGACTTCCTCCCGAAGTTCAACTTGCTCTTGGCCGCCGTCCCTCCCGCTCCTGCGCCCGCAGCCCCGCGGCTCCCGCTGCAGCGGGAGGAGCGGGAGGGACTGGAGCCGAGCGGTGTCCGTGCGGGGCGCGGGGCGCTGTGTGCGGGGCGCTGGGCGCTGTGTGCTGGGCGCGGGGCGCGGGGCGCGGGGAACTGGGCGCTGGGCGCTGTGTGCGGGGCGCTGTGTGCGGGGCGCTGGGCGCTGTGTGCTGGGCGCGGGGCGCGGGGCGCTGTGTGCGGGGCGCTGGGCGCTGTGTGCTGGGCGCGGGGCGCGGGGCGCTGGGCGCGGGGCGCGGGGAACTGGGTGCTGGGCGCTGTGTGCGGGGCGCTGGGCGGTGGGTGCGGGGCGCTGGTACGGGGCGCTGGGCGCTGGGAACTGGGCGCGGGGCGCGGGGTGCAGGATGCTGGGCGCTGGGTGCGGGGCGCTGGGTGCGTGCTCTGCCCGGACGGGCAGAGGCAGCGCGGAGGGGGGCGGTGGCTGGCGGGCCCCTGAGGCACCTGCGGAGCCGGGACCGAAGTTCCCGCCGCTGAGTCCCCCGAGGAGGGAGCGGGACGGAGAGGCCTGAGGACAGGCGGTGCCCGTGCGGCCGGGCCTGGAGGGGAGCAGCCCAGCCGAGGGGGGGGGGGGCGGCGGGAGAGGGAGCCCCGGGCGGGCGGGTGTCCCCAGGACCTCGCCAGCGGTCGGCGGCCGCCGCCCCCCCTCCAGGCGGGTCCAGAAGAAGTTACATCCCCGCCTTCACCGTGACCCTCAGGCGGCACCAGCGCGCCTTCTGCATTGGTCCCAGGGTCTCTGACATCCGCCCCCTCCACCCCTCCTCCCCCCGCACACCGGGTCCCCCGCGCCCGCCGCCTCCGCAGTCCCGCCCGCCGGGGGACCGGGGGCTGGAGATTCCTCTTAGCGACCTCCCTCTCCTCCCCTCTCCTTCTCTCTCTCCTCCCTCTCCCCTCCCTCTCCTTCCTCTCCGTCCCTCTCCCTCCGAGCCCTGAGCCCTGCCCGCCCTCCGGCTGGGTGATGCATGGGGACCCCTTCAAACAGCCGCGCAGACTTGGCGGAGGGGACGGTCCAGGGGGGGGACCCGGGTCTGAGCCCTCGGCGCTGCGCTCCGGACTGTGCGGCTGGGGCTGAGCTGTGCCCAAAGCCCTTTTCAGCATTTCTGCAGGAACGCGATCCAAATGAGCGCTGCAGCTGGTCTCCTCTCCTCCCCGCACCTCCCCATCTCCCCGCTCCCCCCCACCTCCCCATCCCCACTCCCCCACCTCCCCATCCCACTCCCCCTCACCTCCCCATCCCACTCCCCCCTCACCTCCCTGCTCCCCACTCCCCCCTCACCTCCCCATCCCACTCCCCCTCACCTCCCCATCCAACTCCCCCCACCTCCCCACCTCCCCATCCCACTCCCCCACCTCCCTGCTCCCCACTCCCCCCTCACCTCCCCATCCCACTCCCCCTCACCTCCCCATTCCACTCCCCCTCACCTCCCCATCCCACTCCCCCTCACCTCCCCATCCCACTCCCCCCTCATGTCCCCATCCACTCCCCCCTCACCTCCCTGCTCCCCCCTCACCTCCCCATCCCACTCCCCCTCACGTCCCCATCCCACTCCCCCCCACCTCCCCACCCCACTCCCCCCACCTCCTCACCTCCCCATCCCACTCCCCCCTCACCTCCCTGCTCCCCACTCCCCCCTCACCTCCCTGCTCCCCCCTCACCTCCCCATCCCACTCCCCCCTCACCTCCCCATCCCGCTCCCCCCCACCTCCCTATCCCACTCCCCCCTCACCTCCCCATCCCACTCCCCCTCACCTCCCCATCCCACTCCCCCTCACCTCCCTGCTCCCCACTCCCCCCTCACCTCCCCATCCCACTCCCCCCTCACCTCCCCATCCCACTCCCCCTCACCTCCCTGCTTCCCCCTCACCTCCCATCCCACTCCCCCCTCACCTCCCCATCCCACTCCTCCCTCACCTCCCCATCCCACTCCCCCTCACCTCCCTGCTTCCCCCTCACCTCCCATCCCACTCCCACCCCCTGCGGTTGTCAGACCCACAGGCCCTGAGCTCGGGGATCAGCGGGCCTGGCCCTGCTGTCCGTGCGCCCCGCCCCTGAAATGCTGGGGCACAAAGGAGCCTGAGCCTCCCCACTCCAAGCACAGCGGTGGGGAAAGAGCCGCACGGAGAGCCACTGGGCGCCCCCGGGGTCACTGCACCCGCGGGCGGGCCGGGGGGACCCCCGCGCCCTGCACCCCGGGGGAGCTCGGCGGTTCCGGCGGCGCTTTGGGGGCCGAGCGGCTGTCGGGTCCCGCAGACCCTGTGCGCGCTGCTGGCCGATCGGTGGGCCCGTCCCCCCAGCGCACGCACCCCCCTCCCTCCCAGGAGCCCCTTGGAGGAGTTTGTTTGGTCCAAATGAGGAATGAAGTGCGGACAAGTAAACCAAAGCTGCCAGAGGGCGACGAGATGTGGAGTGAATTGCTTTTAGATGAAACAAATTAAGGAAACGAGGCAGACAATCTGCTCCCGCGTTGTTAGCCGCGCGGAGCGGGGCGAGCGGCGCCTTCTGAGCCGCTCATTTCGCCGCCGGAGCGGGAGGAGCGCGCCTGCCTTACTGCTCCGTGCGGACTCCGTGCGGACGGAATGGAAACGGGCGGGAGGCGGTCGTCCTGTGTGGGTCTCCGGTGCTTCTTCACACCATTGTAGCTGAGGAGGGCCTTTGCTGCTTTGCTTGGGGGAAAAGATCAGCTTTAGAGAAGGAGATTGTTTCTCCCAGTGATTTATTTTACCGAGAAATATTGCCGTCCAGGGCCCTTTCCATGGCTACTGGAAAGCCTTCACCACTAAGAGGAGTAATTCCCAAATTTCTGTCTTCCTGAACAACAACCACTGGTACCTTTGTATTGGAATGGACTGTATGGTAGTATGGAAGTGATCTGATAGCCTTACTGCCTTAACAGATAAGTGACTCACCAGCCCAGTTCCTACTTCTTATTTGCAAGTATCTTAGTCCTGCTTTTCATTCTGTAAAAGAACATACGTCTTCCTACTTATTTAAGACATGTCTCCAATATTAGGGGCTGTTTTTACAGTCGGAAGGAAAAGGTTAATGAAACAGTCAGAAGATGAAAATGGTATTTAAAAAACCACACATCAATACTTCCTACATGTGCTTGCTGTGAGCACACCATGGGCACACTGTTCCTTGTCTTTTAATTTTGAACTTAGATATGTAAAGGGGGTCTCTTAGAAAGATTTATTTCTTCAGAAAGCTTAATAAATTTTGCTTATTATTATAACTGCACATCACTGGAAAACATCACTGATATGGACTGTTGTGATAAGACTTGAAAGATTCTTGGTTGTGTCATGATTTCTGTTTTCTGATTTTCTTTTCAAATGAAACTGCTTTTATTTATTTTAATCATGCATGCATCAAAAGTCAGGTTTTTTCCTGAAAATCAAGGCACTTATTGCTGTATATATATTTTCATTTAGTCACTGGAAATGCGTCTTAATTAAGAAATTACATTAGAATATTTCCCAGGGCTTGTGTTTCATGGAAGAGTTGCATTTTTTTTTTTTTAATTCTAATGTGAACACAGTAAGTTTGCACTGGCAGAATTTTAGAGTTTGCCTTCATTTGAGGGAAAATCATACTTCCTCCTTAAAGTGGATTCAGATATTTAATATTCATGAGCTTTCATCCCTTTGGTTCTTAAATAGAAGTACTATTTATCATCTGTCTTATGCACTCACCCTTCCCATCACTATGGATTCTCTTTTTATATCTTATTGTTTATTGAGTTTACACATGTGAATATATATTTTCCCCTCCAGCACTAAGCATATTCTGTGTGTGTGTGTGTGTGTGTTTTACCAGCAACCTGCCACTCAGCCTCTGCAGGGATCCTCTGAGCCAGCTTTCATTCTTTCTTTCTGATAAATCTGATATGGCTGGTTGGCTGGACGATTGCAAGCCATTCCATTGCTCAGATTTATTCCTGAAAGAAAATAAAAAGGCATCGATCCAAGATCACTAGCACATCTTAAGAGTCCTGACTCCAAGGCCAAATATTTCTACAGCGAAGTCCCCTTTTCTCTCCCTCTTTCTCTTCTTGACCAAGGAAAGAAGGTAGACCCCTGCCACTGAACAAAAAAGCTAGGGATGCAAGAAACTGGGGGTGTTGTTCAATATTCTCTGAAACTTGGTGATTGGAGCCCTCTTAAGATGAATGACTGTGTAAAGTACACTTTTAGAAAAAAAATTGAATTAGGCTGCCTTATACTTTGCAGTGTTTAAAGCGGTGTCACTTTTATATTATTTCAAACAAACCATTAAGAAAATTTAACATATATTAAAAATAGCGGCCAGTTTTTGCTTTATTTTGCAGTGTGCTGCATCTGTTGGATATCCATGTGTAATTTTTAAGTGCCTGAAACATCAACACGACAAATGACCACTATCACACTGTATTTGATACTTTTTGAGAAGCACAGTTTTGTAGAAATGTTAATGCCTACATTGAAACT